CTTTCGTTTCGAGTGATTCGTAATCTGGTTGTTAGCTGGGGTCACCATTAAGATGAATGGATGAAGCATTTAGGGTCAATCGGTCGCTTCTTGGAATGCGCTGCGCACTCTACTTCTTTCCAAAAATATAGTACCTTTTGAATGCGATTCGGCCCTTCGACTTGGAAGGCCAGTCAATATACAAGTCACTGTTTGTTTCCTCCCAAAGAAGTACTCTTAAACTGATTGATCCCGGAATGTTGGTAACTTTGATTGGCCGGAAAGGAAACCGATGTACCGTGATCGAGTAAAGTACAGCGCGAAGTGTGTGAGTAGTAAACGGCTCCACCTGCCAGGACACCTATAAACGCTGGTTCTTTAAAAACCACTGCTAATTGGTCGACCGATGGGTACTGTAACTACTGTTGTTCTTAAGAGTGTAAATCTTGCAAAAGGTGAGACTATAGCGAATGCTAGCGTAGGTTCCAGTCCATTTAAGCAGTACTCCCAGCAAGATTTCAAGCATGTACTATCGTATCTGACTAGTGTACGGAAATTTCGCCAATTGCATTTTGCTGATTTCAACTCTCAACCTGCTCGTCCCTGGGGATTCCCGTTCAGGATTAATCTCCATTGTTTTTGGCGATAAATGCGCCATATTGAGCCCGAATGTCTGCAGCTTAAACCCGGAGATGGCGCAGGCTGGTAAGAGGAGTGGACTTCGACTTGCAGTATTCACAGAGTCTAATCACATACTTTCAATACCAGAGTTTCATCAGCGCTGTACAGGACACTAGAAAGTCTGACTAGGACAGCGATTTCTGCCCTGCAAACTTGGTGGATATGTACCGCATCTCTGAAACCGGATAGAACTCAGCTACTTGGCGCAGTCGGGCAGCGCGATACTTGGTCGTTCTAGTTCTGCCGCAGTTTGTGTTAACAATGGTCATACGGACCTGGGGAACACTACCTCAAAGGCACTCAACCCCGGGGACACGAACGGGGCTGAAGGGTAGCGATGTCCTGCTAAGTGCGAGACGAATGAGTCTGCAGTTGCAGCAGCGTGCTACTTTTGCCGCTCAAAAGTGAAGGGGAGCGGCAATGTGCTGTCTCCGTACTCCTCTCCTGTGAAACGTGAAGACACGAAAGGATATCAGTCGAATTTTTCACATAGAAATCGCCTGTAAACTCTTGTAAAAACTACCTGTCAGTTCTTCTGAAGCAATGAAATACCATGAAAATGCCATTTTCCATCCAGCTTTCACAAGTGTGACAGGTTTCACCTGTATGAACTTGGTGAACGAATTGGGGAAGCACTGAAAAAGCTGAATGACCCCCCACGTCGGCAAACTGTGCCGTTCGTGTAAATAAATACGTCTTTGCGAACTGCAAATGCACCGTTTTTGCTATAATTATACCACTTTTTTGCAATACAGATTTCTCTTTAATGAAAGCATGTCGATAAGAAGGGCAAGAGGGCACTCGTTATCAGTTTACGAATTTAATGGCTCCCATAGAAAAGATCACCCAGAGGTTTGTCTCAGTGACTGTTAAAATGTTCCTCTGAAGGAAAAATTATTGAGAGGGAAACAGAGGAAGAGCGACTGAACTCATTGAAATGCTATTGTAATTTTCTCGATTTTCTAGGATATTTACCTGAAAACCTTCCGAGCGCTGCCCAAAGTGAAATTTGTCTGGCAATACGATGGACGACCAATTGATGGTGTGCCGAAGAACGTGTTCATGCAAGCTTGGTTACCACAGCAGGATCTTCTTGGTGAGCGTTTTGTTTTTAGAGCCTGAGATTTCGCGGAGCGTTCAGAATTACCAGAAAATCAGTAGATGTTGGGCAATAAAAAGGTTCCTTGTAGGACCTCATCCCGCACCTCCTGGTGGTCGTCTATACTGGTGTACTATCGGTATATGTTACAACTACACATGGCAGGCCAGACCATGTGAAAAGAAGTGGAGAATTCCCACTTAAAATGACATCTTCCCCAAATTGTTCCCTTCAGTATGACCTCCACTACCAACACACTGAAAAACTCCGTACAGCAGGAAAGTGGGTGGGCGAGCGGTCAGAATTAGTAAAACTGGTGGGAAGAACCAGCATTCAACAAAGTTGGGGAAAAGAAAAAGCCTGAGCCATGTACGACCGTCCTCCCGCACTGCAACCAGGTACCATTCCGGTAGGTGATCGTGAAAGGATCTGTGCCTTAAGAAGGGGGTGCCTTTTACCTGTTGATCGGTTATTGCATTTGAAGACATCATAGTGAGAAGCATAGGTATGTAAGATCGTCATAGTAGACGTCTCCTTTGCGCGGACGTTTGGACTGAAGCTGCTCAGTGAGCCTTGGCGTTCGTATTCACTCAGAGTTCTTCAAAAAATAGGAAACCCTCCGTAATGACAAGTACTCCTCAGAGGAGAACACAACATCTTCATGGTGCCTGCTGCGGAAGGCTGTGGTTTCAGGCGGACTGTGTTTGGCGCAGCCCCTGTTCTCCACCAACGCGCTGCGCCAATCCCAGCCCCCTCAAAACCCCAGGTCCGCAGCGAACAAGAATGGATTGCTTTGTGGATTCCGAAGAGATATGCAACTCTTGTTGTTATCTTTTCCTTAATGTGATATATGTCACAGGTTTTTGAATAATTTCTACCCCAGCTCAGAGTACATGGAAATAATTGGTAATTAATCAATTAATTAATTGAGGCCATCCAAAGTGTCGAGTGCATGTGTCACATGGCGGGATGAACAGCGTCATCGAATCGGTATGGCACGGTGTTCCTACTGTTGGTGTTCCACTTACCGTAGCAGGTGTGTCGTTTTTTTCTCTGAGCGAGTTCTAGCGTTTTGAATAGTTGCAGGAATCCCAATGTTTTGCAATCCTTCAAATGACCCCGTTTCGCTCAAACATTTCAAAGAGCTGCGAATTTTTTTCTGAATGATCTCGATGTAGCCTTTGAACGAAAGTGCTTCCATACTCAC